TCCATGTCCCAGAAATTATTCAAATCCTCTGTTTTCCGCTTTCCTCTTTTTTCAGAACTGGCATGGAATTCTTCCTATCAGTACACTTATCCTATCATTTTAGGAAGAAAGGTTCAAAAAAAAAAACTTGTAAGCTCAGAATTATGGTTTTTTTTCATATGTTTTTTATTCAGTAAAGGACTGATCTCTGGCCTGTTTCTCTAAAGCTGTGATATAGGTTTTGAGTTCCTCAAGGACCACTTAGTTGTTGGTCTAAAAAATCTATATTGATGCTCTCAGTTGCCCAGGGAAAAACAAAGACCCTGTATGTCTCTGTTTGGTTAGAGCAAAACTAGCTTTTGATCTGTAATAAGTGCTCTGTCTTCTGGGAAAACTTTGAGATGAAGGGTAAGAAATGCAAGCAGGAACTTTTATGTTAAAGTTAAAAATAAATTATTTCAGATAAAAATAAGTGATTTTTCATCAAGAAACTGGAAGTGTTGCCTAACATTTACCCATAGTTATAAGTTCCCCAGTTCGATAGCTTTGCCAAGAGAGGATTAAAAGATTAAAGGACGCTCTCTCATTTGGAATTCCCTGAAGAGTTTCACTATCAGTTTGGGGGTCTCAATTTAGACCCAGGATCGAAGCACAGAGAAGTGAGAAGACAGACACCTGTGTGCGAATGGTCAGAATCCAAATGGAGCCACCTGTGTCGACCTTAACAGAAAGTAAATACATGAAGGTCATAAAGGAAGGGTTCTTAATGCATATTTTCCTGGTGGTAACTGACACAAAAGACTACTAGACTGTGGCCTTCCAACTTCTGCAAGGCATCTGCCCAGCCACTGTCTGTTCATCCTGATGCCAAAGTCACCCTTGAAATTAACTGTTATGGCCAAAGATTATTGTTTCAAAATAGCTTACATAATCTTTTTCATTTGCCCTTAAAATTTTCCCTTTTTAGGTATTCCTATTGCAATGCTTTGCTAGAATAAATATCATTATTCTTTAGAGAATCTTTCTCTAATTATTAGCTTTCCAAAGCCAGATCCAGCACTTGCCTAATCAGTGTGATCCTCAGACTAGTAGCATCTAGACTACTTGGAATTGGCAGAATTATAGAATTACAGGCCCTACTCTAGATTTCTTTTTTTTTTAAATTGGTACCTGTTTGTAGAGCATAATGATTACATTTATTGTGGGGAATTGGTACATGTATATAACACATCTTAATTCTTTTTATCCTTGTCTTAGTTACTTTTCTCTTGTTACAAAATATCCAACACCCAAATCTAAAGTGGAAAAGTTTTATTTAGCTCACAGTTTGTAGAGGTTTAAGTTCATAATGGTCTGGTTCCAAGTCAAGGCAGCAGAGGAGCAACAGTTCATGGCAGCAAAAGACAGCAAAAGCAACAAGAGATGACCACAGCTCTTTCAGCCACTTTTATCTTATTCGGACTACTTAAGGCGGGTACAGCACTCACCCTCAATCCCAGCACCGTTAGGCCTAACATGAATCAATCACACAATCTAGATTCAGCCACCTCTGAAAAAGCATGAGGCTTTGTGGGACATCTAGACACAAGCCATAACACCTTTCTCCCTCCCACCTCCTGTATCTCTTGGAAGATCACATACATCACATACTTCATTCACATACATCATATATATATTTGTGGTACCTAATAATCACATTCCTTGTAGGGACTTGGTACATGTACACAAGACATCCCAATTTCCCTCCCCCTCCCCAGTCACTTGGTTCCCTTCCCATATGCTAAAGATCTCACTTGCAGCCTCAAGAGGATGTTGTGATTTGGGTCTGCCGGATCAAGAGGTCACATGTGACTGTCCACCACGATAGGCTGAGGAGTGAGAAGGGGACCCAAATTAGACCAGTCAGAGCCAACGGGACTCAGCTCGAGAATTTTACAAAAATTTCTGGAAAAGAAATTTTCCTTTTGTGGACTGAATTTCAATGAGAAGTAGCCTTAAAGTGATGTCAACCAAATCTGGGGGGCATGAGCTGAAACTGGGAGAGAAAACTGTAGACCTGGTGGCAGAGGAAGGGGAGATCAATGCTGTGTAGAAAACAAAAAACAGTTGTTCTTAAAATACCTTTCTGCTGAAGTTCACAGCCACTCTCCCAACACAGGAGTGTTCTCTATGGAAGCAACAGCTGCCCATTCATAGAACCATGAAAGCTGCTCAGCCCAGGGCAGCCAGGAAACAGAGAGAGAAGGGAGGAGTCCAGAGGAAGATACACCTTCCAAAGGCCACTTCTTAGGGACACACTTCTTCCAGTCAGGTGCCACCTAATATCAGCATACTTAGCTATGAACTCATCAATGGATTAATCACTGATGCTTATAAATGCTCACTTGATCCAATCACCTTCTAAAAGTCCCACCTCTCCACACATGAGACTCTGGGGGACATTCTAGATCTAAGTCATAACGACATTCACTGTTCCGTTATACTATCCACAACATAGCAAATTCAAATTGTATTTAAACATATGAATTTATGGCACTGCTCTCTTCATTTTTGAGAGTGACACATTTAACTCCACAATTTGACTTAAAGAGCCATAAATCACTAGTTAATAAAAAGCAGGAGGAAACAAGCACTGTGAAGGCTGCAGTATATGCTGGTTTTGTCCTAATTAGTGTCCAAAACCACCTCCTACAAACGGACATTGAAGGTTTCAGCCCCAGTCACAGTTCCCAAAGGTTTCTTAATGCCTCTTGTAAAAGTAACTTTGCCACAAGAAAACACAGATCTCACTTGTGTCTCAAAAATCTAGATACAGAGCTGTGGGTCACATTTGGAGATGTTCAATTTTGTTCGCTGCTACTCAACTCTCAAGTGAACTATTCTATACAAATCTACTTTAATTATGTATTAATTTCAATATTATTACATGCAGTACACAACTGCTGCTTATTAAAAATTAATCAGGATCCTATCGGTTTTATTTAGTATTCATTATAAGGCAATGTTCACTTTTTTATAAAGGGCCTTCAGATAAATGTGTTGCTTTACATAACCAAGTAGTGATTTGCCAGAAATAGAAATGCCCTAATAAGAATTCTGCCTGCCTTTTCCCTTCTCTCCTCTCCTCAGTGGCTCCATTCACAGCCATCAATAATGAGCTAGGGAAGGGGGACTGTCAGGGGCTGGTTAAGCATGACATTTAAGGACCCTGCTGTTCTAGCTTGTTGTTAGAGTTAGAATGCCAGAATCCTATCCTCATTTGGCCGTTAAAAGGAATTATTTTATGTTCTTGTCTTCAACAGCCCTGCTCTGGAGATGCTGCAGCAGGAATGCCTTTGTTTAGATGTTGACAAGAGGCTGTGGTGCTTTATTTCTCTACATCTATTACAGTACTTTTCCACACAGATAAGTGCAGAACAAAATAATAATGCTTAGTGTGTGGGAAGAATCACATGAGATTACAAAAAAATAAAGTCTTGAGTTGTTTTCTTCCAAATCTGAAAATAGTAGTTAATATTTGTAGAGACCTTACTATGTGCTTGGTACTAAGCACTTATCTTACTTAATCCCAAGGTGAGCATTGCAGTTATTCTCACTTACTGCTTTTGCTATTTTTCTTATGCCTTAGAAAAATTTATACCTGTGTTTACAATAACTGAGCAATACTTTAATGCAGAAGAAATGAAGACTCAACCCTGAATGCACAATCTGCCAAACAATTTACAGAGGAAACTAACTTTTCGGGTCCAATTGTGGTCTTTGCTGACAATCAAATCAACACTTCAAAACAGAATTAAGTAATACATACTGGCTTGGAAATTATTCTTTAACATATGAGGCACTGTAGCACTCTGGGAAATTATTTTAAAATGTTGGCTTCAAACTACAACTGAGTCGAGATTTTTAAAAAATTATTTTTATGACTCCTTCACAAACCACCACACCTGACTGGATTCTGTTTCTACCTTTTCTTTGTCTTTCTCTGTAACTGTAGTTAACAAACAAGTATGAGGAGTTTAAAATGGGTGGGCCATTATATTATTTGGGCTACTGAGTTATCAGACCCCTTCTTAAGCCAGTATAATCAAGTAATGAAATAAGTGGTAGTCGGTAGGGATGTGATATACAGGTTTCATAAGGAACCAAAGCCAAGGTGGCATTGTGATGCATATCTGTAATCCCGGAACTCTGGGGAGACTAAGACATGAGGATTATAAATTCAAGCCCAGCCTGGACAACTTAGCAACACAACAAGACCCTGTCTCAAAATTTTAAATTTTAAAAAGGAGCTGGAAACATAGCTCAGTACAAAGGCTCTATGTTCAATCTACAGAATCAAATAAAAAGTACCATTGCTAAAGCCAGGGAAGCATTCAGACTTCAGGAAGGGATAGGAGCAGAGTTGGAGGTAGGTCAGAGGCACCTTCTCTTTCCAATCTATGGCATATTGTACTTTCCTTCAAGACCAGCTTTCTCTGCTTCTTAGTCACATGACAGAAAATAATCAACAGCTCCCAAGTTTAAGTGTCACATATTGGACTAATAGGAAAATCTGCTTTCTCCCTTATCTCAGGGGACAATTGTGAAGTGAAATAATGTGAGCACCTCAGGACAGGTTGTTCATCTCTAGACTATTTGACTATCACTAAGAAGTTAGCTCACAAAGGATAGAAAGGCTGTAGGACCAATCAATACAGGTTGGAGGACAGTTGCAAAGTAAAAGGGAGTGACTGTGAGTTGAACAAATGCCCTATGTTAGAATTGTCCAGAAAAGCAGAACCAATAGGAGAGAGACAGATTGTAAGGAATTGACTCATGTATTATGGAAGCTGAGAAGTCACAAGATTACTCTTGGCAAGATGGAGACACAAGAAAGCCTATGCTGCTGCAGTTTCAAAATGATTTCAAAGGCCTAAGAACCAGCAGAGACCATGATGCCATTTCCAGGAAAAGAACTATGCCTGCTTCAGGCAGCCAACCAAGTGAAATTCCCCTACTTTGTTCTGTTCAGATCTTCGGCTGATTAGAGGACCACTCACACTAGGTAAGGTAATTGGCTTTACTCAGTCTACTAATTCAAATGGTAATCTCCAGAAACAAGTGTACAGAACAGAATAGTTTGTTCCAATGTCTGGGGACCGTGTAGCCCAGTAAAGTTGGCAGGTAAAATTAACCATGTTGAGTATCCCCCACCACAAACAACAGTGTCTTCTGGAATCTAAACATGGATGTAACTAAAATATACATCTAGTGGTATTTTAATTTTTATGACAGTGTAGACAAAATATATCAAAAATAATTTTTTGCTAATAAAACATGAATTGCTGTATACTTCAAAGGAAAGTAAAATGCTAAACTGATGTCTTAGCCCCAAGTATATTTCTATAATTCAATTGAGCACAGGCTTATCTCAAAAAAGACACAGAGTACCATCATATTTTCCTTACCAAAAGTAATGAAGTAATAATGCATGAATTCACATACTTTCAAGATTATTTGAAATTTTTAGATTATTTGTCATTACATTCTTGCTTAAAGATGCATATGCATTCTGATTCATAAGCTAAAATGATAGGAATTAATTTAAGACTTATGATCCTTGTGCATTTGGTGACTTTTTCATTATTAAGCAGAAGCAGAAGCTAATAAAAATGCAATCCTTTAATTCACTAATGAAAAGATTACTTATTAGCCTGTGGTTTACATTATTAAGCAAGTTTGAAAGGTTAAACGCTCATGTTCTAAATTATAGAATAAAGGTTATTCTCATTCATTTCTTGTTGCAAAAAGAAGTGTGTTGAGAATATTAAAATTTTTGGAATATTTACTTTTTAAATTGTTTATCATTTATTCACTAAATTCTTCAATACCTACTATTTATTAGGAGCTAGCCATAACATTTCCTCAGTTCAAACTCAGGACCTCCCATATCTAGGCAAGTGCTATATCACTGAGCTATATCTACAATCCATTGGCCCTAATTTTAAGGCATATACTTCAAATGTAAACTGTATGGTTTTTTCTCATGACTTAGTTGGCTCAATTAATACTGTTTAAATCATGACATTAAAATAAACTGATAACATTATTTGAAGAGTATATCAATCTTTTAAATGTTGACCTTTTATATACTAAAAATTACTGTGAGAAAATCAGGCTGAATCTTACCTATTTTTTCAGTGAAGAGAGCAAATGCATAAAAAATATGAAATTAGTTAATGGAGATTCTAAAGTATTCAATAATGAAGGTAGAACACAGTCTCTTAACTCTGGATCTATTAATACTACTTCACTGACTCACTAAATGATACAAAGTTATGTAACAATAATAAAATTCCTCCTTGAGGATACTATGTTAAACCAGCAGAGAGGAATAAAGAGGATGGGCTAAAATAGAGGGTAATGGGGAATGGACATGAGGAAAATATGTTATATGAATGTATAAATCCTTCAAGTATTTTATTTCAAAAATTCCTCATTGACATATTAGTGCAGGAAATACAGTTTTTTTATTTTTCTAAATCATATTATCTGGCTGACCCCTCATATAAAACAATAAACTAAAAAATTACATTTCACCAGGTGTGGTAGCGCATGCCTATAATCCCAACACTCAGGAGGCTGAGGCAGGAGGATCGCTGTGAGTTCAAGGCCAGCCTGGGCCACAGAGTTAGTTCCAGGTCAGTCTCAAGTACATAATGAGACCCTGTCTCAAAAAAAAAAAAGAAAAAAGTTTCTTCAAAAATTACATTTCATTAATATTTTGGGATCGCTCTTCTGGGGCCAAATATGTATTTATTCTTATTGCTTCAGTAGAACTTGTGAAGTTGGTGATGGATATAAAAAGTGGCTTGGGAGATGGAGGTAGCTAATTGTTATGGTAGTACCTACTGAAATATATACCTCCTGGCATTCACGCCCTGTGTGATGTCCATACACATTAAATCTGCCTGGCCCCATGACTTGTTTTAACCACTAGATTGGGGCAGAAGTAACTAAGCCAATTTTAGGGCAAAACCCTATGAAAGCCTAGTAGTTTCCATATTTGCACTTTTGGAACCTCAAAGCACAGGATAAGAAGTCCATTTATCCTACTAGAGTGATCATGTGGCAAGGCCAGGCTGAGCCATCTTCCATCTATTTATTCCCCATGAAGCATTATCAATCAATCCACCTTGAACAGTTTCGCCTCAGTCGTCAGTCTGCTCCAACTTCATGAAAGATCCCAAGAAAGACTAGAAAAAGCCTTTCAGCTAAGCCCAGACAACCCACAAGATTTTGAGAAATCCACTAGCTTTCTACTGTTATATCAGTAGAAACCCAGAGAGAGAGTTATAGCAATCCTCACCACTATAGAAATTACTTCCCAAAGGCTGTTACAGTTTTTTAAATGGAGTATCTCCCAAAGACTCATAGTGAGGGCTTGACTCTCAGTGCAATAATATTCCGAGTTGGGACTTAGAGAGATGACTGGATTACAAGGACACTAACCTCATCAATGGTTTAATCCACTGGTAAGTTCATTGCTGAATGTGCTATCAGGAGTTGGGGTCCAAAATGGGAGTAATCCCTAGGAATGTGCCTGAAAGGTATTTGTCCCCCCATTCCAGCCCTTCCTCTCTGCCCCCCTCCCCCTTCTCTGCTTTCTAACTGCCACGAAGTGAGCAGCTTTGCTCCACCTCACTTCAAGCCCATGGTGATGGAACCATGGACTGAAACCTCATGAGCCCAAATAAACCTCTCCTCCTTAAAGCTGGTTTTCTCAGGCACTGGATCACAGGGACAAGAAACTAACACTAGTACCAAGGGTCCCGTATCAATGAAATAAAACTGGACAATAATACTCAGAAGGGTGCAAGCCTACTCTATGTTTTTGTCTCAGAATTAACCCAGGCTTGTTTCTTATGCTTGCCTAGGTTGTTCTTCGTATGACTCTAGGAATTATCATTCCCCTTTGAGTTATCATATATTTATATAATTGTTACACATCAGCAAAGCATATTGAGAAAGAGGTGGAAGAGGTACCTTATGTAGGTTTTCACTAGACTCTCACTTTAATTAGAGAGAAGGAAATACAACTATCATTCTAATTGACATTTCTACTAGGCTTAATCAAATCATTGAAAACCACTGATTCCTGGTGCTTTTAAAATGTTAAGACATCAGGCTATTTTCTGCTTCCATTCTTTCTTCCTCCAAATGCTCTGTCAACCAGAGAAAACGCCAGTAGTTTAGTTAGGTAGTACCTTCCTGCCCTTCTAGATTTGTTTGTACTGCTGGTGGTGTTGACTCCTCCCCCAATTCCAGACTCAAATGCAATGGTAGCAGCAGGGTGGACACGATGAAATCTCCTTGACCTACTCAATGAATTCCTCACTGAACAGACAACGCTTGACTTTCTTCTAGCACCCATCCTCCCTTTCTACTAGCATTTTGATTTGCTTCCATCCACTAAGCAGACTCGGTGGGGTGATAAAACAAGGTGCTTTCCATCCCCATTGCAGAAGCCAAAGGGACCTCAAGCTTCTCTTCACCATCCCAAGACCCGGTTTGGAAATGTAAATTGAAGGGAGGGAGCGTACGGTCTCATTTCTGCCTTTTAGGAAATTCCTATTTTGTACATAGGACCCACATATTCATCCAATCAATCAACATTTACAATACAATACAATTGTCAATTTCAATACTAGACCTTGGCAGATTGATAAAACAACATCCTCCTTTCCCTCATAGAAATTGCAATGTGATAAACAATTCCAAGAAAGTGTTCCAAGTACAATATTAGAAGTAAATAAAGAATGAAAGTGGAGTGCAGAGAAGAGAGTAGACAGTTCTATGTGAGAACTTAGAAAACATGTCACTGAGGTGCGCTAAGCATTGAGAAATGAGCAATATGAGAGAAGAATGATCTATGCAGTTAAAGAGGATCCACACAATTATGGAAGTGTTAAACAGCAAGACAAATTTTAGGGTCTCAAGTAATTCATCATTGCTGGAACACAGAGTAGAAAATGAAAGCCAGAGGAAAATGGCTTTCACAAAAGTGGATGATTTTCTGTGGTTTCTGCATGTTAGGATATTTCAACTATTTTTTAAGTATAAAAAAGAAAGGGCAGTCAAGTTGGGAAGTATGGCTCAAGCCTACAATCCCAGCATTCTAGAAGTCTGAGGCAGGAGGAAAGCAAACTAGAGCCCAGCCTAGGCAACTTAGCAAGATTCTACCTCAAAATTTACAAATTTAAGATAGGGATGTAGTTCAGTGAAAGGGTCTTGGGTTCAATTATCAGTGCAAATTAAATAATTAATTAAAATTAAATAATTAATTAAATAATTAAATAATTAAAAATTAAATAATTAAAAATAAAGGACAAAGGGTTTATAATGGATTTTTTGTTTCTAAACTAAGGAGCTTTAATGATATCATGAAAAGTTTATCCATTCTTTACAATATGAGAAGCAAGAATCGCACGATTAGATTTTTTTTCAAAGACTAGAGATTGACTGAGGAGAGAAAACTGAAGCCAGATAAGCTTGACGATGCTATAGCCAACCTTACTGTAATTGAAGAGATTTTCTGAGAACAGAACCTGTTTATCACTCCTTGTATGGTTAAAAGAAGAAGATAATGATACCTACTTCTTCAATTGCTCATCTGTATAAAATGAGAAAACAGGCAAGGTATAGCTTGAGGGTTGAAGGGGAAATAAAGGCCTAGACTTTAAGAATGCGATAACCACATGGACACAAATTCTGGTCACATGAATATAAGGCAGGCTAACAGCAGGCAAATTCTGGGTGGTATAAGTAAATCATAGCAGTCACTTTTATTGAATTGTACTTAAAACTTTCCTTCCAAAGAAAATTGCATAATAAGAACTGTTTATGCATCTAGAGCCATCGTGCTCTGGGAACCTCCAATTCATCTACAACTTCAGAAAGTTATCAATGAGCTCTAAAGCTGTGAATGGCCAGCAGATCTGACTTCATCTTTTCTTTGGGAAGGTCACTTTATCAGGTGCATCTTCCATGGGGCAGCAATGAATCCATCACTAAGGACTATATCAAGCATTATCAAAAACACATTCAAATTAAGCATTAGTGAAATAAAACTAAGTTCATGGGCAAAGAAACAAGGAAACAAGGAAGGGGTATGAGAAGGGCACTATTTTTAATTTTCTTATATAAAGAGTGGGAGGATTAATAGCTTATTTTTGTAAAGTATTTTAAAGATAAATTGTACTGTTGACTTGCCAAAAAAACATTCTTGTGATTATTTGCTGTGTCCTGCATGAATATTTAATCATTACCCTGGGAAAGTAACTCCTGTTTAATCCATCATCCTTTTCTTCTCAGTAGATAGCATGCAACAGCCTAATTTTCCCCTAAACATATTATTTTTTACAAATACCTCCAAGGCAGTTTCCATCACCTGAGCACTAAGGCACAAATACATCATGATATGTTTGGACTTTCTTGTTAATGGTCTTGTTAATGGTTAACATACATAACATGGTAGATCTTCTATGCTAGAGCTCCTTGAAGGTACAAAGTGCACCACTGTGAACATAAATTGGTTATTTCCAAAATAAGCTTTTTAACAAAGAAGAAACAATACAGGTTCTGACTCACTCAACTGTTTCTAAGTGTTATCAAAAACAAAACATGTCTTATTTCTCCAAACATGCATTTCACAAATTAAGAAAAAGCACTCCTGGTGTCACCCAAAGTAGTGATTTTCAGCCAGCGTGCTTCATGCCCCACTAATTAAGCTATTTTTAATAAGAAACAAGAAGGAAATACCAATACTTCTTAGAGTTTTAACCCTAACGTGAGATGGACCTGGGTCCCAGGATCTGTCCAGAGTGCCGGCCCTGATGCATAGAGTATTGCTGGCAGCTTTCCTTTCTCTGCACAACCCTGGCAGATACACACAATGGCCTCCTGTTGGAGCGAGTCCCACATGCACAACAACATCTGGCACTGGAGGGCAGAAGGGCAAAAACCCAGCGGGTGATCCCTGGCAAGTAAGGTTGGCAGGAAAACATCAGGAAATGAACAACAGGACAATGATTATGAGATATAGCATATACATGGCTACACTTCACAGGCTGCAGGATTACAGTGTCTGTCACGCTCACAGGTAAACATGGAAAAAAGAAGAGGCAAATCTCAATATGTTTTCAGTTGTTGCCAGAAGAACTCTGTGTCCCCAGTAGACTAATTCTGGGTTCAATTAGTTCTAAACCAGTGACCCAAAGAACATGCAATTAATTCTAAAACACTGGATAATTTCTTTCCTAGTAAAGCCTTAATGAATTGGCCAGCTTTGCCATCATCAGTGGGATGGTCCTATTTGGGAGATCAGGCTCCAGACAGAAATAAAAGGAGCTGCTTTTTCCTCCATCGTACTTTTCATTAGTGCCTCGGCCAAACCAGAAAATCAGATCCAACTTTTCCTTAGGAAATTCTCACACCCTCTTCCTCTTTCCTAGCTACATGACCTCAGATTTGAACTTGTCCATGGAGAACAGACCTTCTTAGGTAGAGGGAAGAACAAATTCCTTTGAGTCAACTTACCTCAGCAGGATGAAATGGTGTATAGGTTAAGTCCAATAACTCACAGACCAAGCCAGATCTGAATCTTGACTGTCACCTGAGAACTGTGTGACCTTCAGCCATTAACACTTCTGAGGCTCAATTTTCTCACTTGCAAAATTAGGAAATTGTATTATAAGGCCAGCTACTATCATGTTACTCATCTAAAAATGCATTAAATCATATTTTAATGTAGAAACAATGCATTCAGTGTAAATGGAAAAATTCTAACCTTTGGGGATATAATTACTCATACATTTATACATCACTCTTATCTTTCAGTTGGCATAACAAAATTTAAGTGAAATCATCTTTAATGCAGAATCTAAAGATGTTTCTAATGCATCTAGCACAGGAATTTTCAGGTATGTATATTTTTTTTCAAAACTAGTGCTCATGATCTTAATTTATTGGCAGTTTGAGGTTGAGGATGAATACCTTAGCATTCGGGACTACTGCAGGATACAGTTTATATACTCACAGCCTGAAAAACTGTTATTCATACAGACCCTAAGAACAGTTCTTTAAATGAGTGGGTTTTGCTAGACACAAACCTGCTCTTTCTGAAAGCCACCAGGTGGTGGTATCACTGGACAGTCAGCAACTGCAGGATCAATGGCTATGTGACATGTGACTTGGTTAGACTCTTCACTTTGGAAATTGTGATTTACTGAGAATACGGGGCTCTTTTTAAAAAAGAATATAAAGCTGATGGCTATTTTTAGTGAGTCAATTGCTTCTAATCACAAAGAAAAGGATTTTACACAGGTGAAAGAAATAAGAAAGATTCGTGGACTTTATTAAGATTTTTCAAGAAACATTTGTTCTCCTGGATATTCAAGTGTGAGAGCTCAATACAATTTTTAAATCTCATCTTTACATCCTAAATGATACATATCATTACTCAAAGTTCATATAGCCTAAAAGAAATATTTTCCACAAAGTAATATTAGATCGCTATTCTTACAAAGCTATTAGAATATAACACATTTAACTAATCATGAAATATTACATACTCATTGAAAACAATTTCAGAGGTAAAAGTAAGCATAGAAAAATAAAAATACAAACACACTATATCCTATGAAGAAATAACCTTTTAAACATTTTGCATTATCCCTTTTTTCAAATGATATAAATATATATATATATATGTGTGTGTGTGTGTGTGTGTGTGTGTGTGTATGTAATTTCACTATAAATTTAAAACCATCCAAAATTATATACCCTGGGAATTCTCCCTTCATTTATGTTGGTGACATCAGTGGTCTATAAATTCTTTTTGTGATGAAAGAAAAAGGCTTTAAAAATATTCAAGAAAAATATATAGCAAAACTAAATTGAGTAAAAGGAATCTAAAATATTTCCAAAATGGATATGTAAAATTAAGCTCTCTCATTTCACATTAACTTACCCCATTACATTCTAGCTAATTCTTTGCCATCCATTTTATACTAGGATTTTAATTGTGTTTTTTTTTAACCTAGCTTCCATATATGCATGTATGCACACACGCACACACACACACACACACACCCACACACACACATATCCTCAGGGCACAAATGACCTCCTGAGCAAAGCAAAGAAACATTAAACCTAAAGCAAAAAGTGCCTGGCACTCTCTACAATTCCTTCCAATATGGTAAAATATGTGAATAATCCTGCCTTGGGATATTCAAGCAAGAAATACCCAAATCCAGGTACTAAAGACTATTCACTGAAATTCTAAGATGATATGGCTTTGCTTTAAGTTTCAATACTGAATTGACTTCACTGAGGAAGCAATCTAATGTAATTAAAGGCTAAAGATCTGGATCTGTAACAGAATTTTTGCCAAATCACTTAATTTTTATAAACCTACAATATGTATTCTTTAAATAATATTTAATGCCAAGAGTTATTTTGAAAATTAAAATAAAATAATGGAAGTAAAAATCCTCATGTAGTACAATACTAGGAGTAAAAATTAAATATTGTTATGAATAAATGTTATGTTTACAATTCCTTCGCCTCATACTTCAGAGCAACTTCCTGTTGAAATATTAAGGCAATTCTAATCATTCGGAATTTGCTTTGCCCAAATCCTAAACTTGAAAAGCAATTCTGTCCTTATGTGCAGTTATTTTCTATTATCATGTGGTATTCTAAGCCTTACCTAATATTATTTCTATTCTTTTTTTTTTCAGCTTTAATTGAGTTTATTGGTACATTTTAGGGATACAGTACAGTTACATTCATTGTTGGGATCTTATACCTCTACATGACAAGTCTTGATTCTCATTTTTTCCCCTTACCTCTGCCCTCCCTTCACCCCCTCCTCCCCTCCCCATCTACAAACACTTTATTTTCATCTTTTCATTCTCTCACATTTTTTTCTTTTCTCTTTTTGTTCTTCCCCTACGTATCACACCTTCCCTACACCTTTAGCTCCTTTCCTCCCATTTCTAAATGTCAGTAATCTTATTAGAATCTTATGCATTGTTGCAGAATATTCACACCAGGGAAACTATTTGGTATTTACACATGTGGGACTTATTTATTTCACTTAGGAGTATATCTTCAATATGTATCCATTTTCCTATGAATGAATCTATTCTCTCGCTCTTTATGGCTGAGTAATATTCCATTTTATAGAAAAACCACAACTTCTTTATCCAGTTTCCAACGGATGGGCAAATAGGTTGTTTCCAAGATTTAGCTATTACAAA